CCAACATATCCAATACCAGTTTGAGGGAGTAGGGAGGGGCCCCGAACATAACTTTCATCACATTTCCAGGAACCGTCCACCAGGCTATGGAGTCGAGGACCGGGGCCATAACCACCCAGTCCTGAGGATGCCTGGACATGAGCAATCACTTGAAGAAGAATCAAAGCCTCTTATTCTGAGAGGGTTTTACGCTTCTCTAAGCCATACAAGGTTGTATCACAGTTTCCCCCCTTGGCTTCTCTGGCACATTTTTATATACCAATTCAGCTTGTCACACACACACACACTCTTTGGAAATAGAGCCCCTTACCACTTGCCTGGTCACCCAGATCCAGCCCTCAACCCTTCAAAATACCCAGTAGCTCAAACACACCTTTGTCAAAATTCCTAAGGTCTAAGCATTTTGGGTGATAGTTTAGGTCTAAGGGTAAGTCTGCACTGCAGAGCTAGTTTGGGATACTGGAAGTATCCCGAAATAGCTATTCCATGTCTATTGAAGCAGCCTGTTTCAAAAGAGATTTCAAAATAACTCAGTGGCTTATTCCAATATCCCAGTAATCCCCAGGTTAAGGGAAATTTCAGAATAGCAAGTTATTCTGAAAATAAATTAGGAAATAAGCTATTTCAAGCTAAGGGTGTTGTGTAAACTGTGCACTCCAAGAGGCATTTGGTAGGAGTAACATAATATACAGACTCTTAGAGTTCTAACATATTACTGCTCTTTAATCACATGAGAATTACACCGATCTACAGCTCCTATGATCATTTCCCCTTTATTCTAGCTCACCCTTTCCATATCTGCAACTGCATTCAAGTAGGCAGAGTCCTCCTTCCTAGCCTTTTCTACTGCAGCAGCTTCCCTCAATTTACACTGATGGAAGAAGGCTGAAGAGAGAGATCAAACAGAATAGCTTCGGATTTTTATAATTTTCCAGCAACTCTATCAGATGAGCTTGATTAACTATTCCTCAGAGGCCTAAGCAGCCCCATGACAGCAGGCAGCATTGCTGAATTGTAGAGTTTTCTGATCTGCATATTGGAAAACAAAATACAGAACTCTGATAAAGCCCTATATTTTTTGCCTCTTTGAATCCTGAAAAACAAACAAGTTAATAAACATTAAGCATAAGGTTAAAGCTAAACCTGCATGTACCCCCTGATGAAGCACACGGTGTGCAAGCTGAAGGCCTTCATTTCTCTGGGGATAAATTAGGGTTCATATAATAATGCTCTGTTGTCTTGATGTAAAATACCGCTATGTAGGCATGATGTGGGAAATGGACCAGTGAAAGAGTATTTTAGCCTAAGAAATTAAAGTGTTTCAGATACAACCTGGCTTGAGAGAGAAATTTAAATTTCTCCCTGGAAGGGTTTTTCAAATGTACTTGAGTCCAAAAATCTCTATCCAAATTTAGGGGGCTTTTAACTATTGGTGCTTTCTGTATCAAAAGGAAAGTTTAATTTAAATAAAATAATTCTTGCTCAGCAATTGAGATAAGGAGTCAGTTTTTTGTCCTATTGGACCACACTCACATGAAGAGGCATAATTTTTATTCAGAAATCAGCACTATCTGTTTTCCAATGTTGCCTCCGGTCATCATGGACTGGAAAGCCTCTATAAGAAAATAAGAATAATACACGTTACTAGGATAATGCCAATTAATCATTTATGAATGTAGTAATTTAAAAAGAAAAAGATAAGATCCTGAGAGCATCCTTTAAAGGATTATAAGAATGTAAAGAAAAATCAAGTTTTGGACTTAATATGTATATTTCCTTACAACCAAGGAAGTTAAAAAATACTGTAATGTTAGAATACAAAACGCCAAAGGCAATTTTAAATAAGACTTTAATAAATTAGTTTTAACATTTAAAATTACTGATCAGACCTCTGTTTACAACAGTGGTTAATTTTTAATTATTGTATGCACCATTACGATATGCCATGCAGACAACATGCACTGCACACACAAAGAGAGGGCATATACCTGTCAAGCCTACACCAAATACTTTTGCTTTGGTCATGGTGTGAAGCTGCAGCTTAAACATATTTTCTGCTTCAGAAATAAACATGAAAACTTTACATAATTAAAGCATAAGTAAACTAATGAAATATGGCTGTCCAGTTGGCCAAGTCCCTTTAAGAAAAATCTATGAAGTACCATAAGCTAAGGGTTCAAAATTAAACCTAGCCTGTATGATTTAGAAAATGTTGTGTTCCCAAGGGTTTTCCTCTGACATTGAGGGATAAAAGCATTACTTAAGTCATGCTGTTACCTGTTGAAATAATGTTTATTTTCAAACCACAAGTTTTGAATAAGCGGGCTCTTTAGCTTTATAGCTTGGGTGTACCAAGCCCCCCTTTGCTTTGTTTTTACTGTTTCTTGTGGTATTTAGCTTCTGATTGCAGGCTATTTGACTATTAAACCCATGTTCTAGGAGAGGGACAAACATCTGAATTGTGGGAAAGAGAAAGGAGAGAGAATGTTTTATTGTAACTATATTTAAGCAAAGATTATGGGAGAACATTTTCCAACTTCTTACCCCCAATGTTTTCCAGGCCCTTTACCACAGTTTCTTTGATCTGTCAATAAAAATAGGTCTCATTAGCTTCTCCCCAAAATCAGAGTATATCTGAAAGGGGCCAAGAAATTGTCATAGCACTGACCAAAATTTTAAAAGGAACCTCTTAGTCAGAGGAAAGTGCTCCTTTTTGGATCTTGCCCATTGGTCAAGGTGGAAGTAGCTAACATTGTTATTGTTTTAAATCTCTAGGCCAATAAACCCTTTAAATGAAAGGCAGAACAATACTGCAACTATGAGTGTTCGTGAATATGAATTTCAGGGCAAATGAGCAGGTCAGTTCAGGGACCACATAATATCAGAAGGTCTCTGGAGAAAAGAGCTGGACATGAGGCATTTACCAGTCGTAAAATAACAGAGTGACTTTTCAAGTCTGGATTAGAAACCTTATATCAAAAAACTAGTATTGAGCTTTCTCTGAGAGGCAGAAATCTAGACATCAAGTATGTATGCTTTTAAAAAACCCAGGTCTATTGCTATGAAACAAAATTTGAAGAGCTATACTGCCCTTTCTAAAACAGTGTTGCTATTAAAAAAAGCCATGAGGTGTGTTATTACTTCTCTCGCCAAAGTGAGGCACTCCGGTCAAAGTGATTTTTGATTTGCACAAAGAAATTAGTTTTCCAGAAAGAAGTGTCATGCCCATAAATAAAATGTATAGGTTTAGTTCCTACCTTCAGTTTCCCTTCTTTGATCCAATGACAGAGCTGTAAAATACCTGCATTCCTGTGCTGTTTGCCTATATTCGTCCTTTGTAATTTGTCCTACTTTCCATTTTTCATATGACTCCTTTTTTATTTTTAGATCATGCAAGATCTTGTGCTTAAGCCAAGGTGGTATTTTGCTGTATTTTCTATCTTTCAGTCACATCGGAATAGCTTGCTTTTGGGCCCTTAACAATGTCCCTTTGAAAAACTGCCAAGTCCTCTTAGTTGTTTTCCCCCTCAGTCTCAATTCCCATGGGACCTTACCTATCAGCTCTCTGAGCTTACCAAAATCCACCTTCCTGAAATCCATTGTCTCTATTTTGCTGTTCTCCCTTCTACCCTTCCTTAGAATTGTGAACTCTATGATTTCATGATCACTTTCACCCAAGCTGCCTTCCACTTTCAAATTCTCAACCAGTTCTCCCTATTTTGTTAGGATCAAATCTAGTACAGCATCCCCCCGGTAGCTTTTTCAACCTTCTGAAATAAAA